GTCTAATCTCCTTAAAAAGGGTAAGGAATGGTGTAGGGACACCGATCATCGGGAAGATTTTGACAGGGTCAAATACAGCCTCCTTCATGCTCCAATACTGGCGTTGCCAGACCCCGATCTTCCTTTCAGTGTCGCCTGTGACGCTACGGACTTTGCCATTGGCTGTGCACTGCTGTAAGCAGACGCCGACGGGCGTGATCGCGTTCGAATCTCGCCAGCTTCAGGCTGAGGAGAGGAACCACCTAGTCCACGACAAGGAATTACTTGCGATGAAGCATGCAATTGTCAAGTTCAGGGTGCACCTGCTTGGCTCAAAGCCGTTTGTCTACACAGATCATGCGTCACTCCGCACTGCGACTCAGTCGCCTCACTTCTCGCAGTGAGGGCCATGTGTTCCTCCTTCTTTGCAGAAAATAACTTCTAGGTGAAGTACAAGCCAGGAAAGCCGAATGCTTTGGCTGATGCGTTGATACGCAGACCGGACTATGAGCTTGCTCATGTTTCGACGGTGATGTCGTCAGTGACGGATTTGATCCGGCTCCACATACGCGGGTGACAGTATGTGTGTAGCGCTGTTACAGGCTCGCGGGAGCAAGGAGCTTGGAAACTTGGACAAGAAATTGTCGGCGCGTTTGCGCTCACGGTTACACCGATACTCGTTGAATAATGGGGTTGCTGTATTATAGCACCGATTCAACGAAAAGCCACGAATTGTGATTCCTCACGATTAGGATTTAAAATACCGTTTCCTTTATAAGTCTCGCGATACCCTACTCAGTGGTCATCTGGGTCGTGAGAAGACGTACAGCCCCGTGAGTTACTAGTATTGGTGACCTAAGATGGACAAATGCACGAGCACATATGTGCGCACGTGTGACACGTGTCAAAGGGTGAAACCCTCTCCAAATGCGGCAGCGCCGCTGGTCAGTTTACTGGTAACCTCCGGGTGTTAGCAGCCTATGAGTATGGGCTTTGTGTTTGGTCTACCGAAGGACTCGCGGGTGTGGTGGTCTTTGTCGACCGTCTAAGCAAGATGGATCATCTTGCGGCAGTGCCGGACCGACACCATCGACGGTGTGAGTACAGCGACGCTGTTTGTGGATCGTGTCTTTTGACAACATGGACACCCGGAGTCAATTGTCTCTGAAAGAGACCCGCGTTTCACTTGGAAGTTTTGGTCTACAATCTTCAGGGTGCCGGGCACCAAGTTGACGATGTCAACAGCATACCACCCGCAAGAATAACGGTGAGACTGAGCACGTGAATCGCGTCGTTGACGACGTTCTTTGCAGCGTTTGCGCTGAGACACCGAAGCGCTGGAGCGCTATGTTGCCACTCGTAGAGTTTGTTCTGAACGATGCAGTACATTCATCTACACATCGTTCTACGAGAACGGGCTTGTTAATCCTTGCGTCCCGCTGACGCCGCCATCTCATGGCTCAGGGCTTTGTGGGGTAGGAATAGCCGAACGGCTAGCTGATGTCTAGGGTTTAGGGTTTAAAAAGTCGGAGACTTCCTGACGACCAGACTGAGTGTCTAACGACACGTTCGCGATGCGATGGCTGAAAGCCAAGACATGCAGAAGAGATATGCAGACGGAAGTGGAAGACGAAATGTTGAAAATTTTGAGGTCGGAGATCTGGTTTTATTACAAGCTGAACACCTTCCTACACATGCAGTTTCTGCTGTCTTTGGGACGAAGTTCTGTCCACGGCATATTGGATCGTGGCCGAGCGAGGTCTTGCGTATAAGCTGAACCTTCCGGAATGGATGCGCACCCCACCGGTGTTTTATGTGGGCTTGCTTATGCCGTACCGGGATATGGCGCAAGTGAACGTGGAAGCGTTGGGGCCAGGGCAGCGCTCACAGGTGCTTGACCACCTAAAAGCTAAACCAGCAACTGCTTTGAGCACGGAGTGCAACGATTTCCGTTTCCAAAGGCGCCAGGCACTCCACCGTCGCACGAAATGACGCATTTGTCTGCTCGACGGCTGGGAGCCGCTCCAGCAGAGCACGGAAATCTTCGACGTGAGGCAGTCGGTGCACAAAGTGCTCCAGGCTGTTGAGGTCTTCCCCACAGCGGTAGGTGACCTCGAAGAGATGCTCGGCAGAGTGCCGATGATGACGGATCTTGTACTCCAACGCTCGAAGAACATCGCGAGTCACCGGACAGCAATCGGCCAAGTCGTCATCGCCCGCCGCTGACTCTTCTCGATGAGAATAATGCGTCTACTACCATGTGAAAGGCCTTGTGGGTCGACGTCGTCGACGGGGTTTAAACCAATATCTTGTGAAGTGGTGGGAATACCTATACTCCGAGATCTCGTGGGATTTTGAAGTGCCACTTCGACAAGACTACCCAGATGTCGTAAACGCTTATGACCAGAAGAATCATGACGCTTTGCGTCGTCGTGCACCCCGGACTTTTCGGCAGTAGCCCGGGAAGCGTAGGGCTATGAGCTGAGCTCAAGGTATGGCCCTGAGCTGTTGTGGTCGTAGACTCACCCGGGAGAGAAACCACAGAGCTCGCGGGAGCGCGATGGATTGATCCATACGTCGCTGGGCGACGAAACAAGGAAATCGGTGTTGCGCCTTGAGTTTGACGCACGTCCACTTCCTTAATGCTTCGCTGTGAGTTGGACAGCGAAGAAAGCTTCTGGTGTCGCTGCTCAAAGAGCTCTTCATCGCCTGAGTGGTTTCGCCAGGGACGAGCATCACAGAAATTTTCCGCATTGCGGGTACAATAGCGTCTCCTCTTTGAGCGCGAAGTCGAGCGCGGTACATATCCTTTGAGATTTCTTGAGGCAACAAGGAGCGAGCTCGTAGAGCTTTTCGTTGGTCAAGCTCAGATTCTGGAGGGGTCGGGGCCCGACCACGTAGACGCCTAACGATCCTTTGATAGCGTCCTACGCTTCAGTAGCGGGATCCCCGGAGAGAAAGCCGTATTCCACACGAGGGTCTAAAACCAGCCGTGGATGCGCGCATAGCCGCTCCGCGGGTAGCCTCCAGCTGCTTTTCCTATGCCTAGTCGAGGCGATTGGGAATGACCCTGAAGGTAGAGAGGTCGAGAAACGGACATGAAGTCCGCAAGGTTGAGCTGGGTTCACGTGGCGCTGTTGGCGCACTTCATCTTCTTCGTCATCCCATGCTGGAAAGGGAGTATCCGATTCGCAGTCGACTTCCTCCAACTCCTCAACGAGGGAATCGGTCGTCCGGGGCGGGCGCGGTGTGTTGCGCTCAGTTGCCGAGAGCTTGAGATGTGCTCTTCGTGAAGTCGAGAACGTACTATCCCGAGATGCACCCTGTGCAGAAGAAGAAGGGCTTTGCCCGCGGGCGCCCTCAGAACCAGCTATGCTGGGTGTTTTGCGTGTCGTCGACACAGAGCTCATAGGGCGGAGAAGGTTTAAAGTTATTCTAAAGAACGTTAAAGTGTCTTAGACACGCGAGCCTCGTATGAGGCGATCGGATATTCACAACTTTATGGGAGAATGTAACGGGGTTACACGTATTCTTGTATGAAAGAGCGGGTTGCACAAGATCGTGCGACCGTAAATAGGTGTGGATTACACAAGTTATTGTACCCACACAGTGGTGTGGCCAAGAAGCCATATTGCCAGTAGTAATGGATATTACTATGTTAATTAGATTTTACTATAATAAATAGGTATTACCATATTTATGAAGAAAACCTAAAGTTTAGATATTTGCGGCTCTGTCGTGAGGAAAAAATTGAGTACAGCTTCAATTTTGAGCCAAATAGTCCCGTTACCTTGGTTAAGGTTTTCAGTACACTTGGAAGCAGCGGATTGCGATCCGCTGCACTCGTATTTGTTGTTGGAAAGGACGTAATGCCGGTGACCTTGGCTTAGCTTCCTTTAAGCAAAGATTACAGCAGCCCCGCTGCACGTTTTGCGCCTGCGCACATAAATTTAATACATGTCCCATCCTCCGTTAAATTCACTCACCGAGCTATGTATTACTGTGTCTTTTGATGTGGTGATCCGTAGGAGTGTCATGTCTCTAGCTCAGCGTCCCGTACCTGACGTCCCCGTAATGAGGTAGTACCACACATTGACTGCAAAGTATATCAGTGCTATGTCAAAAAATAACACCAAGCTTATAATGAAAAAATGACGCTATATATATGCTTTGATACAGCGGTAACTGAATTTCATTGCTTCTCGACGCTTTCCCATACAACTTCATAATTGTACGCTATATGTTTCGCCTCATCCACGAGATGTCACACCTCGTAGTCGGGGCAACGCGAAAGAGTATTTGCAGCCAGAATAAGCCGACCTGACTTCTATCTTGCCTCTGAGATGTATTTGACAGAATGGATAACTGTCTTGCTATCTCGTTGTAAGGTGCAATAGTAACGTCGCTGTGCGCAACGACACATAATTGTCCAGCTTTATACGTCGCTGTGTGCTGATTACTATTAGTATTCACCTCAAGACTAGGTTTGCGCTGAAATGTAGGTGGACGCAAATTGCTGACGTTAAGGCAACGGATCTGGCTGTTAACGGCGCACCTCCGATACAATAGCATCAGCGCCGAAGTCAACACGGCTATCGGTGACTCGAGCAATGATTTGTGGGGACAGTGTTTTTTCAGATATTTTGTGCCTAGAACGACATTATAGTCATCATCGAAGCAAGCAGGACGAAAGGGTATTTTGCCCATGAAAAATGTTACCTTTCGCATTCATTGTTCTTTGATATTGTCGTCGTTTGTATTTCAAGCAGTCGTGCTTCAGTTGCGTGACTCATTCGCCTACTCATAGGAGTATAAATTGTTAAACCAGTACGTAGCCTTCACTTTGTATGCGATCAAATGTTGCATATAAAATTGCGGTATCCCAGTTTCTGCACTTTTGATTGCACAATATAATACAATAGCGATCGGCTCTGATCGATTTGTATCGAAAACCTGTAGTCAACGTGATCGTAATAGGAATAGATCACAAATTACATTATGCAGGTAAACAAGAATTATTTTGCCAGTTCTTTGAAATAGATAAATCGAGTAAAAAAGCTAATATTTTGTCAAATGCGACTAAGTGTGAAATCAGACTTAACCATTGCCACGAGTTGCGGTATTTACAAAAGATGTGTATGAAACAAGGTGTTTGTTTGTGATCCATTTGAAGAGATTGAAATAGCAGAGCGGAACACGATCATGAGACTGCTGCCGTATTGCTCAGCACGACCTTGTTGAATTGCTGGAAGTCCAAGGTAAGCGAGATGAATTCAATCTCTAAAGCCCGGAAAATTGGCTGAGCTTGTAAAGCGGCTAAACTATAAATACTGCTTCATTTCTCACCTACTAATTCGGACGAAATGTGGGTTATTGATAGAATGTCTTTTCAGTATCTTTAGCTTTGTGCATTCTAGTATTTCAGTCATATATAACGCCTGGACATGGCAGCGAGCTCCACCCATGAGGCAATCAAGTCATGGGTAAATTACGAAGATTTGAACAAATTCTTGCAATCTACTGGAAGCGACACGGCAAGAACGTCGATCAAGTAATGGTCAAGAAAATTGGGACAAGACATCATTCCAGCCGCATTGACTATTCCTCGGAACATCAATACTTGATGCTGTGGCTTTGCTTTAAAATACTACATTTCTATAAAAATGCTGATTTGTAAAATAATGGATACAGCCCTACGTTAAAAACAACACTGTACACATTTATCGAAGTGTTGTCCGAATGATATCGATTGGCTTGTGAGGTGTCGACCTGCATAAAATATGTGTATTTAGTGAAATATGCGTTTTACCCGCAAATGACGGAAGACACAAAGTGCAGTCTGATTTTGCTGTAGTGACAAGTATGACATTGGAAGTTTCAGCTCGTGAATATTCTGTACCTTTATATTTGATAACCGTTAACTTCATTTTAATATCCTAATTTCGATATTTTCATTTGGTGTTTGTATCATGCTGTAAGTATACGAACACATCTTGTAGGACTAGCAGCCACATGTTTACGATGTCAGGTTCACGGAGCTACCACTTCAGCTTTAGCACTTAGTAACGTAAATCTCCCTCAATCTACCCTTTTTCTTGCCATGCCGCACAAAGTCTGCCTTGTGGGCTCCGGTAACTGGGGCTCAGCGATCGCGCGCATTATTGGCGAGAACACAGCGAAGTTACCCGAATTCGAGCCTAACATTAACATGTGGGTCTTTGAGGAACAAGTAGACGGCCGCAAGCTTACGGAGATCATCAATTCGGAGCACGAGAATGTCAAATACCTCCCAGGGTACAAGCTGCCAGAAAATATTATCGCTGTGCCTGATCTTCTCGAAGCTGTTCGTGACGCTGACATTCTCATCTTTTGTGTGCCTCATCAATTTCTTGGGCGCATGTTGACATCTATCAAGGAACAAGGTATAAAACAAGGCGCACTGGCAGTCTCACTTATCAAAGGTATCGACTTTGATAAAAACGGAATCGTTTTGGTGTCCGACCTTATCCGAAAGGGCTTGAACATTGACTGCAGTGTCCTCATGGGTGCTAATGTCGCCAACGAAGTGGCGGCTGGCGACTTCTGCGAGTCCACCCTCGGCTGCACTGACTTGCGCCATGGGGCGATTCTACGTGACTTATTCAATGCCCCTACTTTCCGTGTGGACGTGGCACTGGATCCAAATGGTGTGGAGCTGTGTGGCGCGCTGAAAAACGTTGTGGCGCTCGGTGCCGGCTTTTGCGATGGTCTCAAATATGGCGGCAATACGAAGGCTGCTATTATCCGCATTGGTTTGTGCGAAATGAAGAAATTCTGCTTCAAATTCTTTCAGGGTATTAAAGAGGACACTTTCTTCGAAAGCTGTGGTATCGCTGATCTAATCACCACGTGTTTTGGCGGTCGCAATCGCAAGTGCGCGGAAGCTTTTGTGACACAAAAAACCTCTTGGGAAGAGCTCGAGAAGACTATGCTTAACGGCCAAATGCTACAAGGCACTCTCACATCTAAAGAAGTGTACGCTATTCTTAAAGATCACAACGCCATCGAGCAATTTCCGCTATTCTCCGCAATCTATCGTATCGCTTTTGAAGGCGCCGATCCCACTTCGATCGTTCAACTATAGTGTAATGAACAGAAGCATTCGTGTAGCCACTTTTTTTTTTAATTTTACAATTTTACGGTAAAATTTATACATGACAATTGTATGGGTTGAGTCATGAGCGACAAATTTCCAGGAGTCTACAAGAGGCCGTTCGTACGCGACTATGAGCGTCTGCATCGTAAATTCACCAAAGCAGCGTGTGAGCAACTTGACGAGGAGGGTTTCGTAGTCATTGACGACTGTTTTGGCCATAATTGGGCTAGTGCACTCTTCGAGGAGATGCAGTGGCTCAATGACAATGGCCATTACAAGCCTAACAAGACGCAATTTGCACTCACTCAGATGGATACGGACGGAAAGTCTCAAGCATTTCACTTTATTAAGCCTCACATTTTTGAGGTGGATTTACATGATTCGTCGGTACGCGCAAAAGTTCCCGAGCTTGACGCATTGTTCCACTCGACGGAGATTCCGCAGGCTTTGGCTAAACACTTACCACAATACGAAATGCAGTTTAGCACTTCGGATAGGACACTAAAATTGCAGCGCAACGCTGGCCATGGAGGTTGCTTCCCATGCCATTACGATAATCCTGGGGCTCCTAACAAGAGAAAAGTGACGTGTTTACTTTATTTGAATGAAAGCTGGAAAAAAGGCGATGGGGGGGAAGTGCAGCTTTTTCCCTTTTTGCAACAAGCTGTGACTGTGGCACCAAAAATGGACCGCGTCGTGCTGTTTCAAAGTGATCAAATGTTGCATCGGGTTCTGCCATCTCACGTTGAGCGTTATGTGCTAACAATTTGGCTGGACGGCAAGAAAGTAAACGCACCGGAAGACTCACAATTAAGATTGGCACCGAGTGATTTAGCAGACTGGTTTGGCTTTCTTGAACGACTGCGTCGATCTCCCAAGCAGAGAATGCTGTCTCGGGGCGTTTACGAGGAGGAATATTATCTGTCGTTGATGGAGTGTATGCAAAGTACGTCGGCCGAAGGCTGTAGAGAGCTACTTAAGTCACATGAGACGCATTTAGAGAATGTTAAGCGCAATCATCCGTTGTACAACTTTATTATGCGATTGCGGGACGTTCGAACCATGAACCGCGAAGATCCAGTTTATCTGGATTAGTTTCGTACCCGACGCATTGATGCAATAGAATACCTTGTGAACAAAGAATGAGTGTTAAAAATTATGGTCTAGTTGGCAAACTTGTTAGACTTAACAGCCTATTCGTCTTGCAGATCCTGCTATCGTTATGCTTTGTTGCCTTCACAGCCCAAACGGCTGGTAGCGGTGGGGTAAAAACATAATGTCACCTAACTGGTTTTGCAGACCTCGTGATGCTGTGGAGCAGCCACTTATATATAATGCTTACTTTATGCTCGAAGGTCAAACTCAAAGGCATTTATTTGGTTCGAGCGAGCTCTGCACTAGAATCATTTTCTCAAATGATTCTAGTGCCGTTCTTCACGATTGCGGAATCATGTCAAACTGAATCGCTTATGGTCAAATACTATCTTGAGAAAAAATTCCATCAATGGCTGCTTTTTTGACAAACTTTATCGATATACACAAGTGACAACTTTGGTTCGTTCACTTTGTTACTAGACGAGCTGACTGCTATCATAGAAAATCTAGCTGTCAGAAGCTCTGTCAAGCGTCAATTCTTGATCGCTTGTTGACTAACAATATCATTTTCGCTATCCAAACGATAAGCATTGTTTGCTATGTTACTTGTCGACTTGGATTTCTATATCGTCGGTGTATGCAAGGTTTTACTCCTTGCATCTTTGATCTCGTCGCTTGGATAGGCATTTTCTACCTTTTCTTGTTTAGAAGCACAGCAAAAAGAGAATGCGGCGTTTTGATCCCATACGATGCGTATAATATCCTTTAATCTTGCTTCTAATTGATTAGACATTAAGCACCATGATTTTTTTCAACGTAATCATGAGACAGCTGCAAATTCGTCACAGCGAATACGTTCGTAGGATCCAGGGCAACTTTGATCCCTTTGATAGCTGCGATTGCGGGGGGTGAGATTGCTGCCTGCAACCAAGCAAGACGATGCTTGCCAACACCGTGATGGTGAGAAAGCGCGCCACCATTACGCACAATGGCGTCAACAGCAGCAAGCTCTGTTTCTCGAAATAGCGTCATGGGATCATCAATCCCAAAGTAATTAATGCCATAATACACGTACACGCAAACACCAGTGTCGTATACTTGTGAGATACGACAAGCTATAAGTGGCGGTACCTTGATGGCATGCTTCGCGGCCGTCAAATTAATAGCCTGCTTAATGTCAGTCACAAGTTGACGCGCATTCGTCCAGGGAACCGATGTCTCAAAGGACTCACTGATAAAGTAATAATCAAGTGCAAAATCGCGCAAGTACGCGATGATGTACGTAAAAAAGTAGCCTCGCTTGCCACTTTCCTCTCCGCCAACTATGCCATTGTTACGCCTGGCAATGATGTGAATTTGTGTTTGTTGCTCATGCACCTTCTGCTGGCAGTTTCCTTCCAATAAAACAGTGGCTGCGCACATTTCGTTGACGTCAAAACCACGAATCCTTGTCACATATGTCTTCGTCGCAAAGTCGATGACTCCAGCAGTAAACTTGTTGGTTGCGGATGACGTCTTAAGAGCCTGACCCAGCTGAAATTGCGTGTTGTCCAGTAGACGAAGAGACGCAGGCACGCACCCAGAGCGTGTAATATCCTTAAGAGCTGCAAGTCCATGTTCAAGACTAGGAAAAAGAAGTGAGTCGTATATTTGCACGCTTGGGAACTCGCGAAGTCGTAGCGTGACCAACGTATGCACTCCGAAGATTCCCTCCGAGCCCATCATAGCGTTATTCATGTCTGGCCCCATCGCAACGCGAGGCACATTAGCAGCGCGCTTCAACGTTCCCTGTGGTGTCACTGTCGTAATGTTCACTACTAAATCTTCAATATTCCCATACATGTTTTTCTTCATGCCTGATGCACGCGTAGCGATCCACCCACCCAGCGTTGAGAACTCCCACGAGTCCGGCTCATGTCCTAATGTAAGTCCACGATGACGCAACCGATCATGCAAATCCAGTCCAGTAATACCTGCCTCCACGACTGCTGTCATATTCTCTCTATCTACGCACACTATTCGTCGCATCTTACTTAAGTCCAGCGACACGATGGCACGTCGCTCTCTAGGATTGCACTCTAGAGCACTCGTGACATTCGTTCCTCCCCCAAAAGGGATGATACACACATGCTCTGCAAAATTTTGCGTCACTTTTTCTACTAAAAGTTCCACTTGACGATGACTTGTCGGCCAAATCACAGCATCCGGAACTCGCTCAACGTCTCGCACGTGACGAAGTCGAAACACGTCTTCACATGTCTGTCCATGACCATGACGCACTCTTTCTTCAAGTGTAGTGCTAATTTTTAAGCCCAAATTCTCGCTCGCCATGTTCAAGAGCTGCTTGAGACGTTTGTAGGCCATTTCGCCTTCTTGCAGTTGGTTCTTCAGTCGCAAGTCCTCAGGACGCGTGACACAAGGCGTACTTCGACGATTTGCATCCAATCCAATGTACTTCTCAGCCCAAGGAAGAAGATAAGGAAGAGTGCGGTCTGGAGCATTCGCAAATACTTCAGCGTAGCGGACACCTGAAATTTCGATTACTTTTTCCATATTGACAAAGAGTTTTGTGTCCTGATAGCCCCATCCATTCCAGCGGATGTCAGAACTCAAAGCCAATGGTGAGGAAGGAGATGGTGGTATAGAAACGGGCTGACCACCGGCTGAAATTTGGCTCAGTATGGCGCGCATTCGTGCTACTGAAGGTGTTACGTCAGACATGTTGATACTGTTTTGTCTTTTTAACACAATGTTTGTTGACGATTCAGACACCATCATTCAGAGAATCTGATGCAGCAACATATTTTAATTTGACAGCATGTTCAACTCTACGGCAGCGCTCAGTGCCTCGAAAGCCTCTCCCGACGCATACAATCTTGCAAAGGAGTACAATGCGGATGCCGCTGCTAATCTGACCTGTATACTACAAGCTCTTGAAAGCGCAGGGTTTTTCAAAGCGCATAGAAACTCGTACAGCGCCTTCGACCGCGTGCTGAGTGGCATCGCGTGGCTACTACAGCAGATCGTAAGAAGAGAAGATGCCGAGCAAGGGCGAGTCCAATGGGACATTCTTTACCAGTCCCACGACAAGATGAAGCCTCGATTAGGGCTAGCGCAGGAGGTGATTCACTGTGTCGAAGCTCTAAATTTTGATTGTCCTGTGGCAATTCAACCGCACCAACTGCTTCTACAGGACTTTGGGGATATTGAAAAAGTTCAAAAGCTCGTCGTCTGGTTAATAAGCGAGGGAGTAGATGCCTCACACCTAGCAAAAACTCGGGGTGAGCGAGCATACCTGGCGGTTGAATGTTCACAGACCGAAAAACAACACCCAAAACCCGTGAAGAAAGAGGTTGAGATAGTTTGTAATGCCTTTGCACCCGAGCGGCGGTGGCAATATATCGCATCAGAGGAAGAAGTTGAGAATGATGAGGATGCTCTCATCCAGCGATGCTTGCTGGAATATGGAGAAAGGGTGAATCATGTCGCCGTCGAAGACGATTTGTTAATGAAAATAAACGAAGACGAAACCAATAAAGTGAATGTCATGGCTCACATTGCGAGTCAAGCTGCAAAAATTGCTACAGCTGGATTATTGGAAATAGGAAAAGTTAAAGGATCGAGAAAGAAGTTGTATGATTCACATGCTGTTGAATTTCATACACACTATATTAAGGCTGTAAAACAGTCAAGAAAGGAACAACAAATACTTTATAATCAGCGCAAAGAGCGTGAGGCGAAGTTATTGCAGCAAGTGGTATCTGCTCCCACTGATATGCAGCAGGGTGTACAAGGTCGTATTGAGTCAAATTTTCTGCCCTCGTTGCACTTACTACGGGTTCAATTGAAGGAAAACGATTTCCACCTGGGACAACTGGTACAGGAAAAAAAAGATGTGGATGTTCTGATGAAGAAGGGCAAGAATCGAGCTGCAGCACTTGTAGAATTACGCTCTCAATTGAAGTTTGAAATTGCTGAAGTAGATGCACAGGCACCAAAGGATGTGAAAATTCAAGCTCACCTCGAAAAGTTGCGTCGTCTTGTAGTGAAAATCGAGACGCTAAAGCGTGAAAAGAATGATCTGCGACTTAATTGTCGTCTGGAGCTTGGAGCCCTAAAGGATCGCATTGAGAAGTTAAACCTTCACGTGACAGACAATAATAGAAGTCGTGAAGCCGACGAGTTGATTCTCAGCAAGATCGAGCAAACGCATGCTCAAATGGTGGAAAAGCGCAAAAACTTAAAGATCGCAGCTGCCCAGCAAAATCGAGAGCTACATCGTAAGTTGAAGCAGATTGATGACACGCCTTCCCGAATTGAGCTGGTGCAATACGAAAAGCGATTTATCGAGCTTTACAACGAGGTCGCATTGACTCTTGAAGAAACTCGCAAGTATTTTTGTGTATATAACACTTTTAAAGCTGCACATGAATATTTGGAAAAGGAAATTTCGCTTATAAAAAGCATAATCGAAAACGTTGACTGTGTCGTGGCTTCCCGGACAGCTACACAAGCCTTTTTTTTGCAAATTGAAAATATCATTCAGAATGTTCAAGGTATCGTGGCAAAGCAACAAAGTGTTCGAGATGGTCACCAAGCTCATGTGGACACGTTAGACAGCAAGTATCAGTTGCTGCTTGAACAAGAGCGAGTGTACGTGAATGCGATCCGCAACTTTCAGAAAGAGTGCGAAAAAAATGATAGACTGTTAGCTCGCGTTGAAGGGGTAGACCACCATTAAACATGAAGGTAGTGTCGCAGCGCATATGGTATTTAAAAATACCAAACCTAGACTTCAGATCGTTACGCTGCTGCGGCTGCTGACCCAATTTGTGATCGGACGTCCCAGGCATGAATACAAAATACGAATTAGCCCAGACAGCATCCCTCGCTTCATGCTTGTATTTCGCTGCTCAAGTACTTTGCTCAACGGCTCCTGTTCAAGAAACTTGTACTAAGTCCGTGTTGGCAGCAATTGTGGTGGAAGCCCACAAATGTGGGCAAGTGGCAAAGCGGTCAAAAGTCAGTCCTTCTATTGATATTCGAAAGCTTCTTACGAGATTGCAAAGTGAACAGAGCAATAAATCTTGTCCTTTAGTGAATCTTAATGTCGCTGATTTGACGTGGGATTTTGAAGGGGTGGTAGCAGATACGTTGGCAATGGAGATTGGGGAATTGCAAGACCGAGCAACATCGAGTGCTATAAACGTTTGTGTCGTGCTGACGGTGACATGCCAATTACTAGCTGGTGGGCATTCTGTGATTTGGTTCCCTCCGGAAAGCTTGTGCAGTTTTGGAAGTAAGAAACGTCAAATTCTACTTTACGTGTATCCCGGACGCGTAAAAGTTGTGAAAAGTACGAACGATTTAATTAAGGTAATGTACGACGAACTGCCTGTGCTGCGCGAGAAACGAGCAACATATAATGTTCGGGCAGTCATTTTGGGCTCAAAGTCACAAAACCAACAAGACGAGGAGCGTGATTTTGTTCGATTGAGTGGTCTCCAAGAGCATCCAGAGAACCAAAAGGTCATTGATAGCACTCCGATGCCCACAAAAAGCCTGAATGATTCTACCATGAGGCGGTCAAGTGTACACAATACTGATCAGCTGTGCTTTATAAATCCACCAACCGATAAGTTTACCGAAAATAACAACAACCCAAAAATGATCGCTGCATGCTCCACGCATATTGATGACTTTGCTGCAACAATCCCAGAACCACGAAATGATGAAAACGATGACGTGAGCAGCCTTCTCTCTCAGTCAAGCTTTCCTGATCATACTGAGGTTATGCACACCGAAGCATACTTGACCTCTTCGATATTTTCGTTTGCCTTCCAGCAGCAAAACTTGACAGAACCACAAGGGAATGTCAGTGGACAATTGAACAACAATTTTTGTGGTGCCCCAAGTATTACAAAAGCTGAAGTCGCTATAAAAATGGAGTTCAAAGGAGCTCCTGTAAATCGGGCACACGTTGAAGATGTTTCCTCTCAGCGCCAAATCATACAACCCAGAAGAACTTTCCTATCATCGTCACTTGCTAATCTTACAACGGTCACCAAAGAGAAATTGTTTGAGGCAGATTTAGGGTCAAACCTCGTAGCTCATGGAGTAACGTGGCAAAGCTATGATAGCAAAGTGTTCAGAAAGACAGCGCTGCCGCAGCAGCGAGCAAAAAGTCCTGGTTCAAATGTGGCAAAGATGAAGGATTTGGCTGCTACCGCATCGTGTAATGTAGAAGATAAACAAATAGGATTGGTATTAGATCAACACAAACTGAAATCTCAATTTGAAAAAGAAAGTGATGGACAGCATGGTCAGTTATATGATGACAGCGGATCAACAAACGAGTTTAACGCTGATAAGAGACTTGAATGCGACAAAGTCCAGCCTGAACAGCATGAACCTTGCACGTATTCGTCCGACAAGCCTGTTCAGCATGTACCTTGCACATATTTGCCCGACCAGGCTGATACTCGTTCTTCTTATGGATGCTTCTCGTCTAGTACTAGTCCAGATACGAATAGTATTGAGACAACTGTTAGTATATCTCGTGCGCTCGGTGAAGGCTTCACATGCGATAGTGAAGGTGTTGATGATGCCTTTCTGAATAACATGAATGATGAAGCTCACGCGGTCGATACGTCAAACATCAGTGTGCCCAATAGCGACAAAGATATCGCGTCCGATAGTGATGAAGATGTTGTGTCTGATAGCGACGAAAAAACTGTTCTCGCTGTCCAAACTGCTGCGGTCGACATGATCAAGCAGACTCAGTCGCTCAAACTCAGATCAGCGGAGCAAAAGCCAATATCACGATCCGACTACAGAGATAAGCTCGGGCCTCAAATCTGGTGGGAGCTTGAGTACACGGCTAAGAAACTTGAGCGTGAAGAGATGATGGAGCGGCGTCAACAGCAGCACAATCGTCACAGGCAAGATGATTATCAAGATGGAAAATGCGCTTTCACTCGGAATATACGACTAGCAGGGTCACAAGAGATGAAACATAGTCGATTGAATAACCCGAGAGAAGAGAAAAGTGTGGACCTTAACTATGAACTGCATGACTCACGAAATTTGACTCATACTGAAGCAAGTCAACCTGCTCAAATAGATACATTCATTAACGATGAAGATGAATTTGTCAGCTTTGATACAATTGCAAACGATTCAGCAGATGATAGGGATTTCAAGTTACAAAATGAAAGAACGGTGCCTTCTTTCGAGAGTCAAACAGATAAATTGGATGCTGGGCTTCTTGAGGGCTTTTTAGAGCAAAAAAGTAATATTTCTTTATCCCAAAGAAATGATGTAGACTATCTAGTTCCAGCGTCCGTCTTAAAATCGCGCGAGGATTCTTATGTGGTATGCACATCTACGACGAATTCTTCCGCTTTAGTGCCATCTTTGCCTGACCAACCCATTGAAGTAAATTTGATGGAACCAAAGCAGCAACAACTTTTAGGTACGTCCCCCGTACATTGTGCCTTTGTGGAGCGTTCATTCATACGGCCCCAGATAACTACATTCACATCTGCAACTCCTGTAGCCAGCAATAATATGGGGGTTGACGATGAAAGGTTGACACAATTGATGTTGACGAGCACCAATCGAGATAGCAAAAGCTTTTCTTCACCCGCAAAAAAGGAAGATCTGAATACGTCGACGTCAAACAATGTATCCGCTATTCCATTTACTGTTCGTGGACGCGTACCTATTCGAAGTCGAAATTGTTCAGCTTCAAGTGAGCTTTTGAGTTTCAAACAGAGTCCTACTTACATTGGATCGAATCATAGCAGCGTTAAATCTAAAGTATCGACTACTGCCAGCCCATCTGATCACTTTGCGTCAGCATGTCTCCACCATCGATCCCCTGCACGTAAATCAGCTCCCATCGCAACATTTGTCCCCCTAGAGAATAGCGCTGTGGCTTCCCGTGAACTAAAGCTCAACGAGCTACGACAAAAGAAGCTACAGAAATTACAACAGGCGCGAAGTTTGGCACTTCAACAGCAAAACGGAAAGCAAAGATTACGTCGGCCACTGTCATTTGCCAGCTCGTGTTATACAAAGAAAGCATCAAATCGGCAGCTAATACAAAACGCTTTGGAATTTACGCTTTTAGCAGGTGGTTCGATGGAGAATGACCGCACGCTGGCCCTACAGGCTTTAGCTGAATCCACGTGCGACAACTTTATTGTCTTGCTTAAGTCTGCAAAAGAATTAAAATTTCGTGCCCTTTACGAGGCTTACGTCGATCGTGACTCCGCCACTCGAATTTTCTCGCTGCTGCCAAGTACTTCGTCGCGAGCTCCTCTGAGGATTGGCAACAGCGAAATGATCGCGCAGTTTTTTAAGTACAGTTCCGCCAAGAAACAATTTTTGCCTGTTCCCACGCGATCCTTCACGATTAAGACTGACGCTTGCGCACTGGTTGATCAACACAGCAACAAAGGAAGTTTGATGTCGCGCTGACATATTTGTTGTAAAAGGACCATGAACAAGGTAGCGACCACTCAATCGAAAACCTTAGTATTTTGACAGCGAGATCGTGATTTCAGCTTTGTCGGCTAAATTGATTGGGTTGGCTTGCACAATGCTGGGAATCAGGAAATCGGGCAGTGGTTTTCTTATTATTGATCTCGACGCTGCATCTGACAATGGCACATGACGGGGCCGTGAACGGCATCATGTGCAAAAAGCTGCCACCACGAAAGAGATTTTATGAGCATAATTCTGACAATTAGGTAAGAGTTACAAACTCTTAATTTTCGTCTTTTAGATGGGAAAAGTTTCCATTTATACGGATAAACAGCAGTGTTCAGAATTCTTCTCTTATAGCTCAAATTATGTGCGGTTTAATATGGAATTGATGCAATGTTTGGAGATATGCATCTTTCGCTACCACAGGAACACTAATCGCAAGTAAAAGTGCACATCAACCCCCTCATGTGTGAGCTAGCATATGTAAGGCTAAGATACTGAAGGCTACAAACTCGAGTCGAGCATACCATGGGCTTAAAGAGTAATCAACACAAGCGTTGTCTATGCTATCTGGCAACGACAAAAGTACTTGCAGCGGGCATTTGCGTTGCGTGGACAGTTCCTCTTGTTGAGAAAGTAACCAGACGGAGCTTTATTAATCTATTCAGCCAATTTAAGCTTTAACAGTAATCCAACGGTGCGAAAATGACCACAGCCTCAACTTCATGCATTTTGAAATGGATATGTAAAGTTTCTCTTTCTCAAAAGGTGTTGAGTGCCTGGGGTGATATGTAATCCTGAGATCGTTTATACGCAGTTAAATACAGCTGGTATGCTTCGTCAAGGGTGTGTGGTATCAATTGAACGGTGGTAGCGGCTATAGATACATACAATTACTACATCGGTATGGTCCTCTGCCGAAACTAAAACGGCTTTGTGCATTAATACCAGTTCCAAAATTGACATGGTAGGTACTGGTATATCAACACACATCTTATCAATTTGCCAGCTACCCCACAAGTCAACTATTCAGACGACCCTACCTCCCCCAGCCCTCAGCTCCGGCTGTCACTTCCCTTCACCCTAGAAGATTGTAACGGGGTTACATGAGAGTGACCCGTCACTCTCCCAAGGGAGCTGTGGTG